TGTCCAAAATGTGAACACTGGCGTCCTCTTTGTCCTTTAGGTGCAGATGGACAGCCGAGTCTTGTCCAGTCGAGGTGGCTCTTCTATGTTGTGCCATGAGTTTATGAATAGGGGGTACACTCCCATAAGGCTTAAAGTCTGGGACTCTCCACCAGTTGCTCTTAGAACTGAAAAAGCTTCTCGGATGAGAGGTCAAACGTCTGCAAGGAACTTAAAGAAGTCCAGACGCTTTCCAATCTCTTTCCACTCAGCCTGAATGACTGAGAACCTTCACAGAGATACAGATCAGAGAGTTTGACCCTCACATGAATATCAGTAACTGTGAGCATAGAAATTGAGATGGAAAACACTGAAAAGGCATGGTAAGACTTTTCCTCGTAAAAATAAACGACACCCGCTGTTTGCAGTGACTACTTGTGGACTTTTATTTTGGTTTTGGTTCTTTGGATATAAATTCAAATCTTTCAAAAGATTCCCCTCTCCCTGCCAGTCATGCTCATTTTTCTCCTTCAGTTAATGGCAAAGATAGCAATGAAAACTTGGCAGTTGTTAAACCTTCTGATGACCGTATGTGTCACATGCACATGAACATGCAAACATGAACATGCAAACATTCACTTTGCGTGTGTAAAAAGGCCAGACGCTCATAAACTGGCCTCAATCCCACAGTTTCTATATACAAATACAGAGAAAAAGAAACGTCACTTTATATTTTAAGAAAATAATTTAATTAATCACTATATAGATGTTACGAATCTTGGTACGCTTGGTAATTTTCAAGAAAATTAAAGAAGTCCAGATGCTTTTCTTTCCAAGCTCCTTAGACTATGATGACCTGGATGACTGAGAGCCTTCACAGACACGCTTGGTAAAGTTCATCAAGATTGAAGCTGTCGTCTTAGAGGAGTTTGGGAACAAACACAAAGACATGAATACACTATGCTGCTATCATGATGGTAAGGAAAACGATAATAATGATAGAAGACTGGAAATAGTGCATGAAAAAAATGATAGAAAACTATAAGTTGCACTCCTTTGTATTTTTTCCTTCCTACTTCCTTCCACACTGCACTGCAGTTTCTCTGGAAACTACGAGCCTGGAAACATGAGCATCCATGCTGTTAATGTTAAGCTTTTCTGTAATGGCACTTTTTCTCTAATGGTTAAACTGGTTTCTGCACTCAAAGCATGTTCCTGCTTGAGTTCGCTGCTGGCTGGGTAAACATAAATATTGAATTTTAACAGATCTGAAACATTGCACTAACGCAAAGAGGCTAAAGCTTAAGCTGTATCCAGAGCAGAGAGCCAGCCACAAGCCAGCAGCCTTGATAAGAGCTAAAGGATCAAAGCAGTTATGGGGAAAATTAATAAGATGGGTGAAAAAATGTATTGAATTTAAAAATGTATTGGAAAATGGTGTAATATCTCAAATACCTGACATTTGTTTTGTTATATATAAATATGTTCCACTTGCTTTTGTTTGGTAAGATCAAATCTATCACACAAAGGTGGATGTACAGCAACCTTTTCAATGAATTATTGGCACCTCTTTATTTTCAGTTGTTTTACTGAAATAAGTAACAATTTGGGGAAATTTATAAGGTTTGATTTCTTTTAATTATTATTATGAAAATAAAGATTGAGGGTTGAAGAAAAGTTGATTTTGCTTTTCATATGCTGTTAGTTGTACTTGGATAGAAAACTGGAGTTGACAAAAAATCCCTATCACTAGCTCACACTGTAATCGGTGCATCTGTAGTATATTTATATAGTTTTATATATTTTTTTCTCATACACCATTTAAAACCACTGGGACTAAAACTGAAAGAACAACACTAACATTGTCTTATCACAAGAATAACTTCATTTAGGCGTCACATTAACTTCACAGTGTACACTACTGTAATTTTAGTCAGATCTTCTGGTGTCTTGGTAATGGGGCTTTGACATGGCTACTGATAAATCTATTAACAGACACAGTCATTTTTCTATATTGCTTTTAATGAATGCAGCCCTTTTGATATATGATATATGATATATGGTACATTATACAGCACTTTTCCCATCAGACTCATTCACAGATCACCACTTTGGATGCATCTATTCTTGCTTGTGTGGAATTCAGCCTATATTATGTATTACAGTTGGTGCTTCATTTAAAAAGCAGCTTTTGTATTTCTAGCCAGTCGGGTTATTTGAAAAGTGCCCCTAGCTGACTTGACGCCCCGGAAAAAAGTCGTAAAATATGCTCTCGATTCTATACATTTTAAATGACTGCAGCTAAACTTAGCACAAAGCATAATGTCATTATCAATAGTTGATGATGCACAAAGAAAACATGGATATAAAGTAGATATATTCATTGTTTTCATGCAAGACAGAACTGTTAGTGTTAGAGTATGTTTAGAAAAAAAGTAACATCAGGCAGTTATTCAAAGATGCTAAAACTTCAAAACATGAAATCTCCCACACACCAAATATGTGTAGATTAAAACTAGATTATTACCGGTGTTAAGTCCTACAACCAAGAGTTCTGCCATTCAGTTAATAGCAAGGAAATTTAGTAGAGTCCAATTCCCTCCAAACACTTTAGATAAAAAGAATCACTGATCCAAAAGCAGAATGTTTGACAGTGTTTCTAATACATCTCTCTGCATATTTCACAAAATTACTGCATCATAGCTGCACAATGTTTCATCATAATATACCCATAATACTAAACCATGTAAAGTTTTAATATTCATTTGATAACACATTCCAAAAACAAGCTACAAGGATCAAACCGATCTGCAGTTCCCTCATCAGCAGCACCTGTGCTCTGTCTCTTGCATATTTAAAACAGTATAAGGCATATATACATGCACATCAGAGAAACATTCCCTTATTCTGTCTCTATTACCTTGAAAGGTCCTATTGATTCCTCAGTTTATAAGGCCAGTGCTCAACAGAAAGCAGCCTGAGATGTAAACAAAAGAAACAGCAGGAAGAAGCACTTCAACAAGTGGATGTCTCTTTTATTCTCCTTCTGTTCTCAGTTTTTTTGCTCCGTATTGTAAAAATGTGAATCTCTCTGGACTTTTTGGCTAAAGATATGCACTCCATCTTTTCCCCTTTATTGGAAAGGAGATCAGTTCATTGTCTTGTCTTCTTTCTCCCTCAGCCTCGCTTTCTCACGACTCTCCCTTCCTCCTGCCAACATACACAAACTGACAGCCAGCACACGCCTGGGGAATGAGCATGAAGTCCAGTATGTTTATTCAGTGGAGGCAGACCGCGTGATGATTGCCTCTGCACGAGCTACGTTCGGTGACATTCTGCGTACACGAGGAAGCATGCACACAGTAGACATGAGCGCAGACACCCACAACTAATCTACTGACCATTTACATAATCAGAACTTTGGGCCTGGCCACGTGCAGTATTTACAGAACCTAAACAAAAGCTAAGCACCAACATCACGACTTGTGCGAGCAGCAATCGATCTGAGCACCACTCAGCTTTAATCACAAAAGAAAAACCTCCCACTCAGGAGACACTTTAGCATCTGAAAAGCTTCTACCAAAATGTGATGCTAATTAGTTAACTTCGACACCTCGGAGAATTGAGTTTGTTTCTGCTGTGACTGTTTTAAAGCCTTACAAATACGTCAAAGCAGCTGCATACTCTTCTTCATCAGTTTTTAATGAGCCTATGTAAAGATTTTTTGGAGTCACTGAGGGAGGGCATGCAAAATCAAACACAAGCAGAGGAATGCTCTGCAATTAGGTAAACCTGTCAAACAAAGACTGGACACGCTATCTCTATGATCTAGCTTTTTTCAGCTCTGGTGAAATGCTGACTAACTTGGCTTTGTGTATCTGCTGATACAAAGCATTGTATCAACAGATCAGCATTGTAAAAAACAATGAGAGTAAATGAAAAATAAAAATTAATGTCATCACTTGCCTTTTGTTGCATTTTTCTCATTTCAGCTAAGTGTGGGAGTCTTTACTGTGTGCTGCTGTTATTTCTGCTCATGCTAGTTTCTCCTCTCCCTGCTCTCACTGTGAGTGCAGCTCCTCACACAAAGGCAATGTGCGTGGGAAACGGAATTGACCAGCAACAAGTGAAGTGAAAGAGTAGTTATTTTGTTGATGGCAATAAATCTAACTAAAAGCCAATAAATCAAGCGCCCCAGGAAGTATTACATCACACATAATAACACAAGAGAGAAGAGCCAAGGAGAAGTGGACTGGTTTTTATATGGTGCTTTACAAAACATGCCTCATCACACAAGCACTTGTTTCTAAACCTAAATGCTTTCCATCTAAAATTCACCATCTGATAGATGCATCAGAGGGCAACTTGTGGTTCAGTACTTTGCCCAAAAGTACACCACCATGCAGACGCAAGTAACAAGGAATCAAACCACCAACCTTCTGATTAGTAGATGACCTAAAACCTGAGATACAGCCACCCAAACCCACATGCAATGTGTCATCTTTAAGCTTTTCATGTGTATCAGCTCACTAAACCCCATTTGGTGGATACATCAAAAACACTGACCAACATACATAGAACACCTCTTACCTGCTAGCAAACAGGAAAGCTAACATAGCTAACATGTGGCAAAAAAAGAGAAAAATACATTGAAATTAACAGACTGGCTGCCTGTCACCTTTATGCTTTCTGGGACATCCTTACTAGATGGCACATCAGTGATCATACACATGAAACAATCCAGTCATTGGATGAATGGAAGTAGTATATGGAAAGAGGTAAAACTTGAAAATGTAAAATTAAAAGGATTGCCCATCCTACAAATATTTACCTGTAACCTCATCAAAGCTGCAGTAAACCAATAACAAGTACATCTTTAACTAAACTGGTTACAAATACTAAGCCATGATTGGACACTGCTCTTTGAGATCAGCAGATTTAAGTTTCAAAGGGAGAAAACTGTGACAGTGTGACAACAATATCACAAAGCAGAGCAGCGCAGGTGGATTACGCTTTCTTACCTTTCTCCACTGTGGTGACTCCCATGGATGGCTGACCCAGACTCGCCTTTGTCTCCCATTTGCCCTCATCGGGGTGGTACATTTCCACAGAGGCCAGAGGGGTCTGCTGCTGATTCATTCCCCCAAGCACCATAACCTGGCCCCCTAGCACCACAGCTGAGGCCCCCGCCCGCGCAGTAGGCAGTGGAGGCAGTTGGCTCCACGTCTGGCTCTCTACATCCAGGACTTCAACGCTGTCCAGAGGCATGCCGGTCTCACTGCAGCCCCCGAGCACATAGACCAGGCCTTCGTGGTAAACAGGCGTGCAGTAGACGCGGCACTGCGACATGGAAGGGAACTGCTCCCAGTACAGAGACTTGACAGGACTCACCGCCATCTCCTGCACAGGCATGTCTCCAGGGCCGAGAGGAGGGGACGCACCATCACACACACACACCACACCGTAGAGGAGGTAGAGAGAGAGACAAGGAGGGCAAGCAGGAGAGGGCACGCAAAGGTGGAACGCAAGAAGTAGAAACAAGCAGAGTCACAAGCTTGTTTCTGTCTGTCTGAGTGACCACCTGAACTCCTGTGTCCACAGAGAGAGCGAGGATGACATGAGAGAAAAGAAAGATGGATGGGAGGGGGTGAAGAAGACAAGGATGTAGATCAGTGAAAAGAGTGAAGTGAACAAGGAGAAAGGAGGAAAGCAGCAACGCGAGTCACTCACTCCTCAGCCAGATGTCACGACTCGCTCTCTACTCAAATGTTTTATTCATCCAGCTGTTGGTGTTTTCGAGCAGTGAAGCCATCTGCCCTTCAGTCTCCTTTATTCCTTCCTCTTCCAGCCCTCTTTTCTCCTTCACTGCTTCCTCCTGGGTGTTATTTTGGTTAAAGTTTCAGTCTCAGTATACTCCTGGGTGGGAAATGACATTTGAACAGGGGTTTCTGAGGGCCAAATATTTAATCCCACAATAATCTGAAAGTCAAGGGCTGAGGAATTTAAAAAAGAGAGGGGAAAAATGAAGCAGCGAGACGGGGCTCAAGGGGGAAGAGGGGTGAAAGGATAGTGACCTTTAATAATATGCTGACAATCCAAGAAAAAGCCTTTTTGGCGCCTTCAGTCGAGGGGCAATTATTCAGGGCTACCAGTGCCCCTCAGCTGTAGCTCTGTAGTTCTGTTTGCACCTTTGTGACAGAGCGCACAGCGGAAAAAAAATCCTTGCTCATGAACCAGAGTCTTTAAACAAGACTTTGTCACATTTCAAGAAAGAATGTTTTCTTTTGGTTAAACAAAAATTCCAAATCCTGATGTCGAGCGCTGAGACTTGTCATCAGACACAAAGTGTGTGCTGAGAAGCTTCCTGGTAGCTTTGGAGAGGCCCAACCTGGAAGAAAAGACAGTGCAGGATTAGACATGCACTTGGTGGTATAAATTAAAAGCTAATATGATGACAAGCTTATAATTACAATATAATTCAGTGAGACCAATGTGAGAGGGAAAATTATCAAAGTACTGCATGGCAGAATGTATTTAAAGCCCTGTTTGTGCTGGTGTAAACAGCATACAGTATGTACAAATAGACAAAATAGAGAATAACAACTATTAACAAACAGCTGGAGTAATGGTAGTATAGTAATTATATGCTACCCATGTAAAGTTGGTAAGACCTGGCTAAAGCGTGCCTCTGGTGAAAGGTTTTAATCTTTCTGTTATTATTAAAGTAAGAAGTAAAATGAAAGAGTTTATTTTTTATTCTCGATCCCATCACGGTCAAGTGATCATGGAAATTTTCCTACTCCAATCTGACTAAACTAAAAACAATCAATTTTTGTTTTGTTTTGCCTGTTTTTAATAGAAAATGCACAATAATTAACAACAGTACTTGGGTCAATCGTATAAATGTGCCCAATTCAGCCACGCAGACATATTCCCTGCAATTCCTGACAGTTTGAAGGCATTCATGAATACTATAAGAAAACCAAAGGCACAAAAGCATCTGTGCATAGAAAAGAGCGAGAAGTCTATGAATAATAAAACAAAGACATAACCATATATATTATTAAACAAACAGACCACTTATAATGCTTAGAAGCAAAAATAAAAGCACATGAAAGCACCAAAACAGAGAGAGTAAAAGAGTGACTTAAACACTATTTTGGGCTATGACAGCATGTCTGATCATCCAGCAACCACAGTTTGGTTTAGAGAAATGCTAAATCATTTGTATGAGTTCTGGGGGCTTATTAATCTAGCTCTCTATTCCCAGGTGGAAGCAAAAAAACACCTTACACAGGAGGTGTCTGGGAAGCATCCTGGTCAAATGCCCAAACCACCCCAACTGGCTCCTTTTTGATGAGAAGTGGTAAAAGCTCTACTCTGAGTCCATCCCATATGAGCGAGCCCCTCACCCCCTCTAGAGCTCCAGCACCCTTCAGTGGAAGCTCATTTCCTTCGCTTTTTCCCACAGTACCTAAAATTGTAATCTTTTGAACACCAGTCACAGTCTTAGGTTCTTCCTTAATAAATGTGAAGTAAACGTGTACAATTTTTCTATAGAAAGTCTATTTAGTTTGTCACAAGTGTTCTTCAGTGTTAATTTATAAAATATAATCACAGTATTGGTGAAACAAATTGCAATTATTGTCCTTTAAATCCTTCAGCCCCATTTATTCTACTCTGTATTTATCCCAGTCAGCTCATCCTGCATTTATCTGCCTTCCAGCAGCTCACTTGCAATGCAACACCACCAACAACCAGCAGCAGGACTGCAGTACATGCAAATAGGACAATTACTGCTGCTGATTGAGTTACAGGGTTCTGTTACCAAAAGTGGGAATTAGATGCAAATGGATCCAAAATCTGATAAACATTTAATCAATAAAGATTTAAATGAGCAAATGTAACATCTGCTGAATCGTAATTGCTTAGTGCTCCTGACACAAACGTGTGTCAGGGCTGAGTTCAAAGTATAGAGAGTTAGAACAACGAATCCAATCAGATCTCAACATAAGAGCACTGCATTCATATTTCAGTGTATCTTAGAATCACATTCATACTGTTGCCAGCAATGAGAAGCCTGTCTGTGCAATGAGTGTGTGTCTGTGTGTGTCTGTGTGTGTAGACGCAGCAGGAGGCGAGCACACCGTGACCTGAGGTATGACAAGGAAAGCAATGACATTTAGCAGGTGGGAAGAGAGAAAGAAGGCAACCCAACATATAGTGTCGCTCTACTCCACACTTTCTCCTCTGCTGTCCTCATCTTCTAGCTCTATATGTTGACACTGTATTCATAATTAATGATGCATTCTTCCTCGGCTCAATTAGTTGGCCTTTAGCTCACCTTTAGATCAAGTGAGAAGGAAAGGGAAATGAGGTGAGTGCGTGTCCATACTTGTATGTATGTGTGCATGCATTTGCATAGAACAGCTATGTAAATATCTTTGTGTCTGCATCAAGCAAGACAAAGTTATCATGTAAAAGTTTAGTTTCACCACGCTACCTAAATACTGGGTATTCAGTTGTGAAACAGCTTTCTGCTATACACAGCGCTCATTTTTTATTTAGCTAATATATGTTACACTGCCACTGATGTCATGAGAAATGCTTTCCATCTTATTAATAAAAAGAAGCACAAAAGGACAGATACAGCACGTGTAGTTTTCACAAACCAGCCATCACAAACGGGAGATGCACACAAATGCCAATTAGAAAAATGCTTATTTTAAATTAAAGAGAACTTTAACCAATCATGGCATGCGTGGTCAGGACTGTCAGTGGTGTGAGTCAGTTATTATGGAGATGCTGCTCAGTACAACAAAATAGGTCAAGGAATAACCAAAATCCAGAATGATGTCTCAGGGAAACAAGTAAAATATTATTATAGGGTCTGCCTTACAATATAAAGCTCCTTGAGGCGACTGTTGTTGTGATTTACTGAATTGAACTGAATGAAGGTTTTTGTAAAGCACACTGTACTCAGATATTACCAGTGTTGTTGATTGGAAAAAAGCCACAACTCATTTCCAATGCTGCAGAAGGGTTACACAGACTCGCTGAAAGAAAGGTGAGCTGTAGTGGGTCATCTCACCTCTGTGATGGTTTGTGTTGGCATTTCAGCCAATGGTGTCAACATTGATGGAATTATGTACAAAGAAAAGCACCGTCAGATTTTGATCCATCATTCAATTTTTCCAGATGACAGTTAACTCAAAAATACTGGCAACTGAATAAAGACTACCTGGAGAGAAAAAACACACAATAGAACACTATCGGCTCTACAGAGCAGGGTGTGAACATTATTGAAGCATTGTGGGATCATCCTGACAGAGAATGGATCAAAAAGTAGACAACATCCAAAGAAGAGCTTTGAATGTCCTTCAAAAAGCCTGGAGAAGTACTACTCAAAGAAATTACAAAAAAGCTTTTTTACCCTCTGTACTCTTGCCTTTTAGCAAAATGACTGATATGGTGATGATCAGATTTTATGAAGGTGTATGAGTTTTGGCAAACAACCATTTGACTAACATGTGTGTCTCACCTGCTCTTGTTCCATCTCTGTTCTGTCGTCATTCTCTCTCTCCCTCTCTGTTCCTCTCTCTCCCTCTCTGTTCCTCTCTCTCCCTCTTTGTGCTGACAATCAAGCCAAACACCAACATCATCAAATATACAGTTGAAACCAGATATTTATGTACTCTTCAGATAAAAACAATTTTTTAATTGTTGTAACATCAAATCAGACTGTTTCTTTTTTTTAGATTGATAAATATAAAAAACATATTTGTTAACTTTAAGAGTAAAGAGAGAAACTATCTGTATTTCTTAATTGCAAATAGCACCAAATTGTATTCAAACTTGAGCCACACTTATGGAGCTCCACAATTCTTTTCCTGGTGTTTTGGTTGACATCTCTTGATTTTCCCATGTCAAAGAAACAGGCTCTGTGTTTTGCCTTATATGCATCCACAGCTGTGCCACCAATTTACTCACATGGACTCTACTAACCTATCAGAAGCTTCTTCAGCTCAGAATGGAATTGTCTGGAGTTCTCTTATTAATTAACAATAAACTTAGTGTATATGTACTCCTAAATTTGATGAAAGTGATTAAAATAGACAGCTCCCTCTTTTTATTCTGATATTTAACTAATTCAAAAGATATTTCAACATTTATTTATCTAAAACAAAAGTTTACTCTAAATTGATGTTTAACAGTAAAAAAAAAAGTTTTTATGTTTTCTAAAGTGTATGTAAATATCTGGTTTCAATTGTGAATATACTGCTGTGTATTGAAATTCCTCTTGTTTTGCATAGATATATTGAACAACATCCAAAGCATAATATATAAAATAACATCTACCTGAGTTTTTTCAGAAGCTCCTTATGTCATTTGTTGTGTTCATCAGTACACAATTGAAACCGATTTAGAGAGTTTGTTTAGCCGTGGAGGGTAACAACTGAAAATATGAAATGCAAGCTAAGACTCAGACTCAAAAATCAGGACGAGGACTGAGGGCAATAACATTTGATTTGGGATAATGATAAATTCAGGCCTTTAACGGAGTAATAAATCTGATGACTTTTTTGTTTTCTTTTTGCTGTCTGAGAGGAGTGTATGTTCATGTAGTATTTAGAATGTTGGACTGTTTGTAAGTCATTAAAATGTAAAAAAAAAATAATAAAGATATTGTTGGGAAAAAAAGACTCTCTAAAGAATCAGCATTGCTGTTCAGCTTTTTATTTATCCATTTGTTGATTCACTCGAAGAGCAAGTAACGCAACCAAGTGATCAGTTTGATATCAATCTTTTGTGATACACCGTCATATTTACATTATTAGTTCAGTATGAATGATTTGCTTTGGTACCTGGTCAAACTTAAGCTCTCCTCTGTCTGCAGCAAACTCGCAGGCAGCAGCTTCTCCCCCCTCGCTCACATGGGTGCTGTGCTCAGTCGCCTAGTGCCTGAGCTCGGATCATACCAAAATTAGGGGGAATTTACGACAGTGCGCTCTGTGCTTCGTGTGTTGTTTTTGTTTTATACAGTTGTCAGTCAGGCATCTAACCAACAAATTACACTCCAAAAGACCCCATGCTTCTGAAAAAATGACCCGGGCTTAAGCCCAGTAAGCCCCCCCCCCGGCTCTGCTGATGGTTGAAATCTCCCGAACACTATGTCGATTTGAGAACACAAGACCGAAACATCAAGACCAAGACCGAGACCAAGACAAAAGTCCGTCAAAATCAAGACAAGACCAAGACCACGTAAAAGTGGTCTCGAGACCGGTCTCGAGACCAAGACCGGTCTCGAAACATCCAACTCTAGTTTGGTGGTTGGCAGGTGAACTGTAATTGTCTGACTGCACTGTGCCAAGTGTAAAGTTTGGTGGT